GGGGGGAAGGAGTGTGGGAGATGCAGCAAGAGACTGGACAAAAATCGTGCACCTATGGATGAGGACAGTGGGTGGGGAGTGAGGGCGGAGGGTGGGGCGGGAACTGGGAGGAGGGGAGTTATGGGGGGAAAAAGAGGAACAAATGTAATAATCTGAACAATAAAGATTTAATAAAAAAAAAGATTCCCACACTCAGAGTGGCCTTGAGTATCTGGCCTACTCTGAATAGGTTCTCCCACAGAGAGAAACACATCGATTGGTTGCCTCCTGCATACCCTCGACCAGGGCCCTGGGCCAGGGGGGAGCCTGCATCCAAGGTATGTGCCCTTGATGGGAATCGAATCCAGGGCCCTTCAGTCCACAAGCTGATGCTCTATCCACTGAGCCAAACCAGTTAGGGTTGGCAGACCCTTGATAGAAATTTTTGATGGAATAAATTTATTTAAATGAAGCAGTTATAGTAGTATCTCATGATGTGGAAAGAAAAGTGGTTACTCAACTAATATTAGATGTGCTTCTTTCAATGAGGCACCATGGTAGGTACGGAGGATTCAAAGATAAAAAGACAGGGTCTTTCCTTAAGAATTCACATTCTACTGGAAGTCTAGAGTTAGGAGAAAAGTTCGTGTAGTCAATTTGGCTAGAGATAATAAAAAATGTTAAAAATTGTGGGCCTTTATCCCAGGTTCAGTTCCAAATAAATCTTGAATATATTAGGGGCCTTATAGTTTCTGAGCTGGAAAAATTCTTGAGAAAAGTTGGAAAACTTCTCTCCTGGATTTTGATGCTGGCTGCAGAACGATGGCTTCTGAGGGAAGAGGAACCCGGGGAAAGGTGTGGGCAGGGATAAATAGAAGTCCATACGCCATCACGAGCGTGTTTCCTGGGCTTCCCATTCTACTCTGCTGTTCAATTTTCCCGGGATACTCCTTAGAAAAGGCGATTTTCTTTTCACTTGGGAATTAAAAAAATTCACACACCTTCTGGAAATCAGGCTTATACATTGGCATGGCATGACTTTTAAAAATAATGACATCTGTTGTGATATGCAACTCAAGTTTTGACTTTTTTTGTGGGGTAGGGGGCTGAGGCCCCAATCTTACCAGTAAATTGGAGCTTTTGCTTAATGTAACAGATGGTGTGGTCAACGTTTTTTGATTATGAAGCACTCTTAAAAAAAAACCAGCCTAAGTGATTTTCCTCTATATAAACTGTATGCTATCTTTCACAGCATCTCATTGGAGAGGCAGCCTTGAGGGTTAAAGTAAGTAGGTTATCCTCTCATCTGTGAACACAAGCAACTCTCTGGCTGCTGTGAGTGACACAGGCCGGGTGAGGTGGAGGGAAATGCAGGGGAATTGCATTTTGACGTCTGGGTTGCTGTTTGCCACTCTATCTCTTGCCATTGCCAAGCACAAGCAATCTTCCTTCGCCAAGAGCTGTTACCCAAGAGGAACACTGTCCCACGCTGTTGACATGCTCTATGTCAAGACAGCAAGGCTCAAAGCAACAATTCCAGTAAGTACTAGGCTCTGCGTACAGTGGTGACGTAGAGGACATTTATAATTCTGGATAAAACTTACTTCTCTCTGTTTTATTGTAGGAAGACAGCATAAAAAATATACAATTATTGAAAAAGAAATCAAAAAAACTATTTATGGTAAGCCAGAGGGCCTTTCTTCTCCCCCAGGTTTCTAATTGTTTGATGTTTTTCCCCCTCCGTTTAAATTTTCCCAGATGGTCATTAAGTAATAATCAGGGGGATGGTTCAGTGACATTTTACAGAAGCGATGCACGGTTTACCTTAGGCGATTTCTTATATCTTGTTTGTAGAAAAATTGCAGATTCCAAGAACAGCTTCTGTCCTTCTTCATGGAAGATGTTTTTGGTCAACTCCAAGCTCGCAAGGAAATACAGTTTGTGGAAGAATTTCACAGCCTTAGGCAGAAATTGAGCCGCTGTGTAAGTACGCACAACAAACGTGGTGAGTTTGACCCTACAACCCTACCTAGAAAACAGCATGTGTGAAGCTGTCTCCACATCAAAGGGTGAGTAACAGGGCCTTTCTAAGCGTTGGCTTGTAGTCCACATGGAGAGTTCATTACTAGAGAAACAGGGCCAAGTAACCATGCACAACTCAGAGCGCCACTGTTTAGTGTAGCTCAAGGAATGGCATGTAAAACATATTGAAGCAAGCTAAAATAACATGGAATGCTACTCAAATACAGAGGTGGTCAAAAGCAGGTTGACAGTTGGTCATATGGAAAAGAATTAATAAATGATAATAGACCATGTGTTTTGTGTACTCACAGCTGTGAACCTATTTTTTCCCACCCTTGTATTTATTTAATTTTTTATCAT